GCTGAGCGTAACAACACGCCTCAGAGTGTCCTTCCTTGGAATGGCCACAGGAAAGACTTGTGCAAGAATTGCAGGGAAGAAATGAACCCATGGCCGTGTTTGTTGGTGGGGTTAGAACCCCTGGGGGCCCTACCCCTGAGCTATGTCCCCAGCCCTCTTTTTTTTTGTTGTTGTTGTTGTTTTTTGAGACAGGGTCTCACTATGTAGTTGAGACTGACCAGGAACTCCCCACGTAGCTCAGGCTGGTCTCGAACTCACAGGGATCCTCCTGCCTCAGCCTCCCGAGTGCTGGGATTACAGGCGTGCACCACCACGCTGGGCTTCAGCCCTCTTTTTATTTTCTGTTTTGAGACACTAAGCTGATCTGGTTGGGCTCATACATGCAATTCTCCCACCGTGACCTCCTGAGTAGCTGGGATTACAGGTGTGAGTCCCTCTCCCTGGCTTCACAAGCATGTTTATAACTCATGTGTGTTATAATGGGCTTTTGGTTAATGTGAGGCCACAGCCAGCCTGCACCTACTCCACCTCTTGGATCACTCCGAGCTCGCCAGCTCTTAGGCCAGGGGTGTGTGTGTGTGTGTGTGTGTGTGTGTGTGTGTGTGTGTGTGCAGCTCTAGGAGGAGGGACTTGACTTCTTCAAGACCCTCTCCATGTATACCGTTAAGGTCAGCAGCAACAGGAACAGACACAGGGGTCTGCCCTGCTCCTCTCTGCAAATCCCAGCTGTTCTTGCTGTCTTCCACTGTGCATCTCTCTTCCCTTCCTGTGGATTTCCAGCTCCTGCATCAGACTCAAGGATGACAGCCTTCCAGAAACTGCCTGTCTGGCTCCCAGAATCACATAAGTCTAAAGATCTTGGACAAATCCCTTACTTCTCTGTCCTAGGGCTTATTCTTCTCTGCTTGAAACCTGGCTGAATCAGATGAGATGCCTGGGCTCCAAAGAGGCTGGCACACACAGCTCAGGGTCTCCAAAAGCCGTCAGCCTCTGGTCCTCCCAACAAGGCCTGCTCAGAGTCCTAACCCCCTGTAAACTTCAGTGGCTGGAAAAGGACAGACCCTTCCCAAGTTCTGCCAACCACAGAAAAGCTGCAGTGACCTGCTGAACAAAATAAGAAGAAACCTAGAATCCTAGATACAAGTCATTCTAGCTAGGCTTAATGGCATTTGCCTAGAAGCCTCCCTACTAGGGAGGCTGAAGGCAAGAGGATCAAGAATTGAAAGACAGGGCTGGGGATTTAGCTCAGTGGTTCCATCGCCTGCCTCGCAAGTGCGAGGGCCTGAGTTCTATCCCTGCTACAAAAAAAAAAAAAAAAGGAAGACAGCCTGGAAAACTAAGCAAGTTTCAAAAAACCAAACCCAAACCTCAGCTCTTTGCAATATTGTAAACGGTGTGGTAGCACGCAGGGCACCCTGGAACTTGTGTGCCCTGGAGATGAAGCTGACGATGAGACTCTATGGGTGTATGCTAGTCCTTCACATCAGTAACCCCAGGAGTGGGAGCTGGGTCTCAGTGTCAGGTTGGACCCTACTGGAGAATCCCTTTTCAGCTGGGGAAAGAGGCACGGGTGAGCTCCCAGCAGAGCTGAGCTGAAGTCCGTGCTGTTTGCATGCTCTAGTCCCAGCCTTGGCTGGCCACTAGGGGGCTCTGAGGCCACGTCCAGAGAGGCAGTGAGGTCTGTAGGGGTGCCAGGGCAGCTGGGAGGCAGGAAGACTCCAGGGCAGGGGAGTAGAGGGAATGCCCTTTCCAAGGGGTGTCTGCCATCGATCAGGGCAAATTCCTTGTGCAAGGCTGCTGCTGCATCTGTGGGAACTCGGTTTTGTGGCCCCATACCTTCTGCCTTGGGACCCCCACTGGAGCTACACTCCTGGGACTCAAAGTTGTCATCACTCAGGGCAGGAGGCTGGAGATGGCAGGCCTGAGACACATGGGGATTCCTGTTACTCATCTGCTGATTACCAACTGTGATCCACTGGTCCGCTAAGGACTCAGCTTCTCCCCCTGTACAACGAGGGGACTGGACTGGACAATCATTCAGGTGTCTTCCAGCTTACTAGTGATGATGGTAGTGACGTTAGCAATGCCAGCAGTACCGTTTGCCAAAAATTCAGAATGAAGGCTGAGGCAGGAGGATTGCAAGTTCAAGGCCAGCCTGGGCAACTTAGGGGACTCTCTCTCAACATAAAAAATAAAAAGGGCTGAGGACAGTGAAGGAAACTGACCACTGCCATTCTGATCAGAGACCTCTCTAATCAGCCCCCTCCCACCACAGCTGCACCTGGGGACTCCTAACACCTACAGCCCTGCTACTGATAGTAGCTACACCTCCCGTGTTTTCCCAAGTCTCAACCTTGAGCAACCATTACAACTTGTGCTCAGCTCCTGGAAGGTAGTCACAATCCCCTCTCACTGACCCTACAAAAGACCCCCCAGCTGGTCTGGTCTTTAGTGCCAGAGCTGTCCCTCTTGGATTTGTTCTGCAATAAACCTGTCCTGTTGAGCTCGTGCCTCTGTTTCTTCTTTTCCTTTTTCCTAGCAGCTATAGCTTAGTATTAGAGTGTCCCTGGGTTCAATTCTTAGAACCACAAAAACAAAACAAAACAGAATTTAATTGGACCATCTTCCTTAATCTATACAGCAGGTCCATAGGGTAGGTACAACCATCGTCCCATTTTATAGATAAGGACACACAAGTCTCAGGAGCTGAAGAGGCTAGCCCAGAATCAGCTACGCCTGGGCTTTGCCCCAGTTCCCGCTCTTTCTAACTACGTGACCCTGAGCGAGTCACTTGCCCTTCTGGGCCTCTGTCTTGTTTGAGGCCCACTCCACAGAATACAGGGCTGCCACACAACCAAAGTGCATGATGGTCCACACCTGGTACACGGGGGACACGCAGAAGAAAGATGCCACTGATCATTGCAGCATATTCAATGCAGCCTTACCTGCAGCTGTGATTCGAGCTGCAGTCCATTTTGTCCCTACGTCCTGGGCCCCCGTGTTTCGGGTAAGCCCCTGGGCTAGCAGGAGGTGACGTGCTGCCTGGGTCCCTGACTCACATTTTATGATGGGATCGGGGTGTCCCCTAGAAGAGCCAGGGCAGCAGAGCCGCACCCTGGTACTACCGGGTTCCCAGGAGGCCGTCTGCCTGGTCCCCCAGGGGTCCTCCCTCCACCTGGACAGCAGCGCCAGCCGCCCACCCTGGCGGGCCTGACTTCCACCTCTGTCCCTCAGAGCTCACCGGGGCTTTTGTTGTTTGTTCGTTCTGTGTTTTGAGACAGAGTCCCCCTATGCAGTCCAGGCTGGCCTCACACTCAGTGATCCTCTTGCCTCAGCCTCCCGAGAGCTGGGATTACAGCACGCCCAGCTCAGAGTTTCTTGTTTGCTCCTCACCAAATGCCTCTGGCCCCTCTTCTGTGGCTGTGTGGAACCCCACTCCTCTCCTAGGCCCCGAAGAAGAGCCCTCTCCACAGCACCTCCTGGCTGATGTCTGCCCTGGGCTTCCCAAGGGACTGATGTATTTTCGCCACCACCTGACACTGTGGGCTGATCTGGAATTAGCCCCGCTACCCTCTGTGCACTATTTCCCACAGGTAGACGGATGCCATGTGCCCTGTGTCAGGTGCTTCTCACACACTTTTTTCCCTCGAGTCACTTAGCTAGTAGGTGACAAAGACCGCATCTGAACTCAGGACTGTCTAGGCCAAAAACCCTACAGTGAGACAGTTTCTATTGCTCCCAGATCTTTCCTTCAGGGAACACTTCCTCGTAGTCTCTGATGTTCTCCTACTCAGTGGTGGCACACACCTGTAATCCCAGCACTCATGAGGCTGAGGCAGGAGGATCGCTGTGAGTTCGAGACCAGCCTGGGCTACACAGTGAGTTCTAGGGCAGTCTCAATTACATAGTGAGACCCTGTCTCAAAAAACCAAAAAAAGAAAAAAAAAAAAAGAAGGGCCTAATCCAGCCCATGCTGGACCGTTCTGTTCATTCAACCAGAACCAGAACCGGGACCACATTCACTTTCACACAGTTTCACCCACTTGTTAGTTGTCGAATGGATGAATCTATGTACATGCTGGTTGCCTTTGTTCAGAGAGTGAGAGGGGCAGGATGGAACGTGCTGCCTCTGCCTGAGACAGAAACGGGGCAATTGTCCTTCATTTGTTCATTCCTGGTTTGTTTGTTTGTTTGTTTTTGAGTGCTGGAGATAGAACCCAGGGCCTTTTTGGGGGGCGTTGAGACAGGGTCTCACTATGTAGTTCAGACTGACCTGGAACTCACTGTGTAGCCCAGGCTGGTCTCGAGCTCACAGCGATCCTCCTGCCTCGGCCTCCCAAGTGCTGGGATGACAGGCGTGTGCCACCACTCCTGGCCTGAACCCAGGGCCTCTTGAGCTAAACTAAGCATACTCTACCCCTGAGCTAGACCATAAATACTGTTCTGTTTTGTTTATTAATCTGTTTTATTTTTTTTCCAGTATTGAAGGTTAAATCCAGAGCTAGGCAAGGCTCTACTACTGAGCTACAGCCCCTAGTCACTTTTTAAGATTTCAAATTTTGAGACAAGTTCTTATTAAATTGCCCAGGTTGACCTCAGAGTTATGATCCTTGTGCCCCAGCCTTTTGAGCAGGTGGGATTACAGGCATGCAGCACCAAGACTGGTCTGTTCATTCTTTGGTGCTTTTTGGTGTCGGTCGGGGATCGAACTCAGGCCTTTGTGCTTGAGAGGCAGGGGCAGAACCATCGAGCCAAATCCCCGGCCCTCGCCTGTTCATTCTTTCTGGTAAATATCTGTGGCCACTCTGCCAGGCCCTATACCAGACCCAGCGAGACCCTCTCTCAAAATGAACAAACAAACAAAAAAAGTTGAAACTCTGAAAAAACTCCCCACCCACATACACCGACATGTTCATAAATACAGACCGCAGAGAAAATTCTTCACTTACAATGGTGATTTGAAAATACGTAAAAAATGATAACTATAGGCATCAGCTCACCCTCCAGCAGGCAGGGCAGTCCTCCGGAGCCTCATTTCTAGGGTTAGTACGGCTGTCTCTCTGTTCTGAATTGACAGGTAAATTTCCGTACTTAATCGGGAGGGAGAAAATGATATGGTCCTGCACTGTTGCTTACTGTCCCTTCTGGATGGGCCTCCGGGTTTTTCACTTCACAGGCCCGGCTTCTGCTGATGTTTTCGATCCATGACCATTACTGTCTTTTACCTTTTTCCACTGCATTAACATATATGGTCTTTGACTATAGCGTGATATTGGTAAGGAACACCAGACATCTGAATTTGCTGGTACATAAATGATTGAACTTCTAATGAGAATATCCCATGAGCGTACTTTGGTTTTGATTCCACAGTGAGAGAGGATAAAAATACTCAAAGTAACTCATCAATCTTCTGGTTGCGGTTCAGTGAGTTCCTAGATACAGTTCATGTTAGGGACTTGACCCTGTTGCCATCACAGGCTGTACTGTCCTGGTTCTTCTTGCCTCTTAAAATGACCTCGTGGTCAAGCGGGGCGTGGTGGCGCATGCCTGTAAACCCAGCATTTGGGAGGCTGAGGCAGGAGGATCCCTGTGAGTTCGAGACCAGCCTGGGCTACACAGTGAGTTCCAGGTCAGTCTCAACTACATAGTGAGACCCTGTCTCAAAAAACCAAACCAAAACAAAAAAACCAAAATGACCTCATGCTATTTTCTTTAGTTTCCCTCCCGCCAAGGCCACAGTGGTCCTGAGAGATTAAACCTGTTTCTGCAGGACCAAACCCATAAAGGCCAACCTGGCCTGTGATAGGTTAAAGGTAGCCCACTCCTCATAAATAAGCACTAGCCCAGCCCCAAATCACTCCCGTCTCTTCTCTCTCTCTCTCTTCCCTCTCTCCTCTCTCCCTAACCTGCCTTCCCTAATAAAATCTCCTGTGGGACCTCTCGGTGTGTGGCCTAGTTGCAGCTGTCCAGCGGCTCTGTGCCTCTGCAGTTCAGACAGCTGGGGTGATTCCCAAGAACCTGCCATTGAGCGCTCACCCGCAGACACTGTTCGCTGCAGGTTAAGAATCACGTCTTCAAAACCACGAGGAGCACAACTAACACTCCAGTCAGGTGTCCGTCCAGGGTACCACCGGAAACAGGAAGAGAGGGAAACAGGCCAATGTTTCACTTTGACGTGGTGACTGTGTTCTAGCAGGGGGTCATATCTACATTTAAAAAACAAACACGTGGGTTGCAGGGCTGGTTCTAGCTGTGTGACATTGCGCAAGTTCCTTGTTTTTGTTTTTGTTTTGTTCTTAGAGACAAGCTCTCCGACGTTGTCCAGACTAGCACTGAACTCCTGTGCTCCAGCGATCCTCTTGTCTCAGCCTCCCAAGTAGCTGGGACTTGGAGCATGAGCCCCCGCAGTCAGTAGGCGGGCACATTTCTTAACTCGTAGGTGTCTCCTTTCCCTCCTGTGTGAAGTGGGGATAACCATGTCTCCCTCTGGAAGTCGCTGACAGAGTGCCCAGCCTGTGGCAGGTTCTGAGTGATGGGTGTGGCCGTCACCCGGGAGCCGCTGGAGGATGACATCCACCTTGGCCACAGCCAAGCCATGGCTGGGTTTACAGGGACAGAAAGAGGAGCCTTTCCTGAGTTGTTCACTGTGCAACAGGACATCGAACGTCAGAAGGCAGAGCTTCACTGAGTGACCTGGGGCAAGTCCCTTGTGTCCCTGAGCCTGTTTGTTGCCTCCTGTCAGGCAGGGTTGGTAAGAGTCACCTCCACACCTATCAAGTTACAAGAAGCAGACGAACTCCTGAGCATGAAAATATCAAGGAAGGCTGTAAATAGCATGGTCGTGACTGAGACTAGAAGGGGGACAACGGGCTCCCAGCCATGCTGGGCTGACCCTGCTCGTTTATCCGGAGCTCTTCAGACTTCCAAGTATCTGTAGGGAGCATGATGGGGAATAAAAGAAAGAGACAGAAACAATATTCAATGTGCAATGGGGGGGGTCAGGAGGAATTTTGTTTGTTTGTTTTTTTGTTTTTTTGAGACAGGGTCTCACTATGTAGTTGAGGCTGACCTGGAATTCACTATGTAGCCCAGGTTGGTCTCAAAGTCACAGGGATCCTCCTGCCTCAGCCTCCCGTGTTCTGGGATTTTCGGTGTGTGCCACCACACCCAGCTAGGAATTTTATCTCTGGTGGATAGGCTTTGATGAGTGCCACAGTGGGCCTGCTTTTATAATCAACAAGAAACACAGGACGGGGGGGGGGGGGGGGGGG